GTTGTCGGTGCTTCTCACTGTTTTAGAAATTTTCCTTATCATCGTTGACAGTTTTAAGCTTTATTAAAAGGTGAATTTTAATAGGAAATGAAAAGTCTGGCATACTTTTCAGGGGGTGCTTCAGATTTTGTCGCTTTCATCTTGGCAGCATGCAGGCAACCCTCGTTAATGACCAGTTGACCTTTATCAACAAGCCAAAGGGCAAGAAAATATCCTTTGCCAGGTGACAATTAATCTTATCTAGCAGTCGAGTAGAAGGAAGGAAGGAAGGAAAGCGGTTCGTTCTTAACACATCATTGACCGTGATTTTAGTCATGCGAATGCAATAAAAAGAGTAAATACGGCGGAGACGACAACTGCAAAGTGCAGAACGAGAATGAAAATCCCATCAGTGTCAATCAATAATCAAAGTAGCGGCAAAATTAAAACCGACGATAAGTTTAAGAACGCGACAAAGGAATTAAAAATAAAAGAAAAACGAAAAATTAAAAGAAAATATACGGAAAATGTGAAGAAAATTAATTAAAAAGGCAGAAAAATCGTACAAAGACAAAGAGCAAATAACAAAGTGAAGAGACGAACGAATCCAACAGGGCTTTTTCAATTATATTGATGAGCACAGATGAAGGGCGGAGAGTACTGGCAGAAGGACAAAGACAACATTTATCACAAGACGAACAATAGACTCAAGCCAAATGGGTACGGAGAGGAGAAAATGACATGGCGGCCGGCTGGCTGGCTGTGTTATGTAAATACATCCAAATACAATATCACGTCCATGTTCCGGCACACAATGGCCAAGAGGCAGTCAAGGAAGCAAGCAAGCCTGCTTGCACTCGCTGATAAGCAATGACAAACAGCTGCCGCTGTTTCCGCGCAAGTAGTATCCTAAAGGGAGGAGGAGCTGGATCACTGCAACAGACATGCGGCAACGGCAACCCCTCAAAACTGGCTCAGGCTCAAGGACCTGCCGCTGGCTGAGGTGTAGCGTACATCAGACTGTATCCTGGCCGGCAGTCAGGCAAATTAATGCAGCGCATAAATTGACTTTTGGCTTATCTGAAAAACTTGTGCGCCAAAAATGCATTTGTCAGGAGTTAGTTAAAGGCGCCATCAACTCAGTTCAGAGTTTCGCGTATAATAGAAAAGGCAAATAGAACAATGACACGAACTGAAAGGGGTACTAGATTAATCTTGCGCACATTTAGACAAGCATTGCAAAAATGTTAAAATTCAGTGTAAAGTTTTCACAACACTTTAAAATATCAAAATGCAGAGATGATCAGCTTGTATAAATCCATGAAAAGCACTCATTTTGAATACAGTACTGAGTACTGATTTTTAATCTGGTTATTTGACTATATTGCAATTTTTATTATGCTCTTTTCAAGAGAAGGACGGAAACGTTAATAAAAAGCATAGTAATTTAAAATGGACTTAATTGCTATTATCCGTGACATCGCCTGGTCTACTTAGCACTCCCTTAGAATGAAAACTTTTTATGCACTATTTTATCATTATAATTTCAGTGCGAAAACTTTATATAGTGTATGAGTTGATGTCGCATAAACTCAAACATACATTTAAAATAAATATAAATATATATATGTATATATATATTTATATACAGACATAATTTTCATTAAAAGTTCTGCATGTTTGGTGGCATTTTAATGGAAGCGAGCAGATAGCGGGGCGTGGCGCTGCTGCGACTCTGTTGTGAGTTGGAAAACAACGTTGCAAGTTGCATCTACTACGAGTCACGCCCACTGCTAAATATGAAAAAAAAAAACTATGGCAAATAATTCACGACAGGGAGTCTCATTGCACAGCAAATAGCAAAAAGTCGCTGGCTGCCTGTTTATTACTATTACTTTGTTTTTGTTAGTGCTGCTGCTGTTATTGTTATTGTTATTGTTGTTGTTGTTAGTTACTAGTTGTGTTTCACTTTTAAGCCGTTTGCACAGTTAGCTGGTTTGAGTTTCGTCGAGTTTGTCAAATGGAATTTGCTGCTAAAAGTCAACAAACAGAAATTGCAGCGGAAATAAGAGTAATATTAGCAAACACTCGGGTGAAATGGGAGTCTACTTTTATGTCAGAGAAAAAGGGTTGTCAATTAAAACAAAAGGAATGTGTAGATTCAATTTTAAACTATTCACTTTAATAATGTGCACAAGCTATTCAGTGAATTATGTAATCAAGAAAATAAATCACACTTTCAACCTACTCCAATTTCTAGCATTACTTTGGCCACAATAATTAACACATTTCGATAAGGAATGCTACAACTTTTTAAAAGTGTCGAATAGTTGCACAGTGATAATTAATTAATATTAAGTTATACAAATTAGCAATGCGAAATACATATCGACTGAACTAATATCGAGGTCAAGTAGTGAAAATGCCGGATTAATTTTTAGTTTCCGCCCTTAGCTAAAATCATTACAATTTCACAACCATTTTCGCATTGTTTAATTATGTTAATGTGGCATTTATTTCAATACTCCACGGAGAAGAAAAGGAGCGGAGGTTCCACTTCAACAATGGCATTCAAAATTAATTTTCAATTAACTCGCAACTGGCAACTGGCAAACTGAAGAAAGGAGAACTTCAATGCTAATTTGTTGGTGGTCCAAAACGGAAAGATGTTAAATGAATTTCGTTGTGAGTCTGTGGAAAAAGTTCAGCATTGGGACTGGTTGTCAATTAATTGAGTTTTGGGCTTTTGTAGCTGCCGCTTAAGACAATGGGCGCCCATTGTGAATGATATCAATTTCAATTTGGGCAGCCAACTCAAATAAGCTGTGGCACAAAAGGTTTACTGACAGTTTTCGCCACCTGAGCGCGCCTCAATTGAAAACTCAAATGCCAACTAGAAATTCAAGTTGGCCACTTAACCCCCGACAACCACCAAAAGTAACTGCCATAGCGTATTTCACTTTCAAATGTTAGTTGTAAGTGTAGGCAATCAAAGATATCTCGTATAAGTGAGGGTGAACCGAAAAGTTTACAAGCCCCAACTGCAACTATTAAATAATAAGGTAAACTTATGAAATAATTGATAATTATAGATACGGAAAGGATTCCGATCAACACTTTGGAATTGTACAAGCAAAAAACTCGAAAATAGATTATGAAAATAATGAAAAATACAAATGAAAATCAAAACTTCTTCACTAATTTCACTATGCAAAGCAACTGTTCGTTCATCAGTAATTTAATGAGTTGAACTATTTTAGCTACTTGTTCTGAAATTCCGCATTCTTAATTTTTCTTCATAGCACCCTCGCATATATATATATATTTTATATGGCTGCTTTGCTTGCTGCCATTACAAGCAATTTGTTCGACGGCCATTGGGTGCACTAACTTGACAGTTACTTAGTGTAGAGATAGCGATGGAGAGAGAGAGAGTGGGTGGGTGAAGCAGAGGCATCGGTGCTGGTCTGAACTGTGTTTCAATTGAGTGACAAAGTGTATCTGTTAGGGGATTCTGATACTCTGATACCAAAGGTATCGTGGCATATTGGTTTTCAGCAATGTCCGTTTGTCTTGTCTACATATCTCCCTCAATTTTAAGGCTAGAGACACCGAATTTGGTTGGTAGCTTGTTGACGATATCCTTCGAAGATCGACATATGCCACGCCCAGCCCCACCCCCAAAATTCCCATAAGCCCATATCTCCCGCAAATTAACAGCTACAATTACCAAACTTGAAAGTGAGATTACTAGGAAACACCTATAATATTTGTTTCGGCCACGCCCACTTACGCCTTCAATATTCTCAATAGCTCAATAGAGCTGAGGATACAAATCTTGGAAGGAAGATTACTAGGAAACACCCAAAAATCGCAAAAGCCTATATCTACCGCAATGTGAAAGGCATTTGAAGGGAATCTACTTCAAAGATCGGTATTTCTCGACAACGTCCGCCCTGTTGTATTACTTATGGTATCAGGGTATATCGCAGTCGTTCTCACTTGATTTATTATGTTTTTTTTTTGGCGAATCGCAGCCACTTCACTGAAATCAGATTAAAGTTCGCCAAAGCATTTTCAACACCTGGTGACCCTTAGCAACGAGCCACTGTCCACCAATGATAGACAAGCAGCACATGGCGGGGTAGGGAAACACTCTTGTAGCAAAAGATAAAGAGGAAATCAAACTTTGTCCAGCACTGATACACACACACACACACACACACACACACACGCACACATACATACACACACAGCTCTCTAATATCTGCCGTGTGCCATGGAGTAGAAGTTGGACTCCCATAACGTGTAAGTTAGTTGAAATGCGCTTTGAATGAATTTTCATGTGCGAGCACAGACAAGCATACATACATACATAGATATTCATATGTGTGTGTAAAAGTTTTAATAGTCTCACATTTGAGTGTTCTAATGATATGCTAAACTGACAAACGAAAGGTCCTGCCTCCAAGTTTACCTTGTCCTACTCTTTCAACCCCCACTTCCGCTTTGGCAAATTGTTTCAATATCTAAAGTTTTGCATCACTTCAAGCGGACTGATGCTGATGCTGATGGTGTACTACTATGGATAGTTAATCCCAAAAAGGTAGTTGGACTTTAACTGCAACCACTTCAACTGGAATTACCTTGAGGGCAACGCTTGGACATATTTTTACATTTTTACAGACACGAATACTTCATTTGTCTAAGTACATGCAGGTGTAAAAATCTATCAAAAAGAGTCGTTTATTTAAGAAACTCCCAGCTAAGTTATGGCATATTTGTGTGGTTTTTAGTTTTATGGTTTAGAGTTTCCCACAAGCAAGATAACTGGAGGTGTTTGGCAAATTTGCATTTGCAGTGATTTATTTTAAAAAGTTTTTAAATTGTATTTTAATTGTTTCCAAGCTTGCTTGCTTAGTGTTCAAATTAAGTAAAGATGATATGCATTAAAATCAACAATTTAGTTTTGAATTTTTTAGTTAGTTTAGTTTTTGGTTTTCTTAAAGTAGAGCACTCACCTTGCCCAAATTGACGAAACCGTGTTCCTTGGCAACTGCATCGGCGATGCCGTTGCTATCACCGTTCGGTATGTGCACCGCCCAGGTGTGCGTGTAGTGGCCCGCATCGCGACCACTGTTGAGGCTGTTGCCGCTGCTGCTGCTGCCGCTGCTTGTGGCAGCGCCGTTGCCTTTGGCCGTCTCATAGTCAAGGACGTAGGGCGGCAGAAGTGACGACTGGGCGGGGCCGGGCTCCACTTTGGCCGCGAAACCGACATTAAAATTACATAAAAAAACTACGACACTAATTTTCAAAAACAGCAGCAATGCATTCGATTTCAACGTCACTAATGACGTTCTCGAGTGTCTGCTGCGATAGCTTTTCGTTTTGTTGTGCGTTAAAAAACTACTTTTGAATAAATTGCAATTGTAATTTAAATTTGTTATATCACATTCAATGATTGTTTGTTGTTGTTGTTGTTGTTGTTGCTGCTGCTGCCCAGTATTAATGGTTGCTGCAACACTCGCATGCGTCGCTTTTGGCTGACAAGTTCTACTGCGAGCAACATGTTGCCGGAGCTCTGCGTTCCTTTTCTTGCTATGCTGCTGACTGTGTTTGTTGCTGTTGTTACTGCTGCAATCGTTCTTGCAGTTATTGTTGTTGCAATTGTTGTTGCTCTTGTTGCTATTTGGCTGTTTGCTCCATCGCACCACGTCGTTTTTCATTGTGCGTTCGATTTGTGTTATTTTATTGAAGACGTGGCTGCTACTTCTCTCCTTCTCTCTGTCTGTCTGTCTGTAGATCTGTGCGTGTTTATATGAAAATGTTGTGATTTTTGCTTCCTCTGCCTCCACGTTGAGTAGCAACTGTAATCGCTTTACTGTCGCATTGAAGCTGCAAGTAGAAATTTGCATTATTGTCTCATGTAAGTCAGCTAGCAAATACTTCAAAAAGATTTTAAATAGGACCTATATTATGTTGAACAAAGACTAAATATTTAGATTGAAGCTCTTCATATATTTAATTAATTTCAAGTATACTTTACACTTTAACCAGAAATAATAAGCACTTATAAATCCTCATTGCAAAAAGCTCCGCTCATCTGATCTTAAGCTCTAAGAACTTGATGCCAGAACAAGGATTTAATGACAACACATTCGCCAGAGTAGCCTAACAATATTACGCATAATACGGAAAATAAACAACACTTAGCACAAGCTGTAAGCACACAGACTAGTCGGCAACAGGACACTACAACAGATAGCTACTAAGAAAAGAAAGAAAAAAAGTTAAGTGCCTGCAAATGACATATCCAATTTGTTAACAAGCACCAACCATACCATTAGAAAAGTGCTTTCTGCTGAGTCAGAGGATAGAAACGGCACAAAACTACACTCATTAGTCGTCGGCAAAACTTATGAGCAAACATGATGCAGATGATGCGCCACATGGCCAGAAGTAGCAGCGTATTTGATGCCAACTATGGCATTGGCAACCATTTAGCTGGCCTAAGGTCAAATCGCATTGATTGTCACCCCTGCCAAAACAGAAGTTGGCATCGCAAATGAGGCACTGAGATTGGTTGACTGCCTTTTGACTAATGCCATTGTCGAAAATATGCCAATGACTGATGATGGCCCCGAGGATAAACCAAGTCCAAAACACTGACTATCATATTTTCCAGGCAATTGTGATTGAGCAGGCGGATTTCAGGATTTGTATGGCCAGCGCATAATTAAAGCCATGGGGACTTAAAACGGAAATGCGCAACAGCAACACCACCAGAACCACCATCACCAGCAGCATCAAGAGCATGACATCAATGGCAGGATGCTCTGGTGTGAGACGTTTGGACATAGTAATCAATAGTCGAGTGGATAGGAAATTAAATTTTCATACGACAATAGCGCTGCATTTGAATGGAATAGATGCTGAGCAGCTGGCCAGAGGATAAATTCAGCTTCCGACTAGCTTGTACAATATTTGACAATTCTATTTGGTCAGCCATTGCCGAAAATGTTTTGCAAGAAATAATAAAAGTTTTCTTATTATATAATGGATAAATAATGGAAAAAATATAGATATGAGACTCGGCAGTGCATATTACAAAGTTAAACTTATATTTTTGCTTGTATTTGTGTTGGATTATTTGGCCATTGGACTGATGGGAATGCAAATGCAAAAATATCTTTAATTTTACTATCATCGTAATATTTCTACGCAATTTCAGTTAATAGAATCATCACAAATGCAAACTGCTTAAAATAAATGTGCTCAATTTCATGCTCACGAAACTTTTGTTTATATTTTTAGTTTTTTGCATAACGCAAATAAATCTAATGCGGTTTTATGCTAAGTGAACGCTCCGTGATCTTATACTTTTCAATTAGACAAATGTCCACACCACAGCCAACTGATATATAAGAAGTGCAGAACTGTATCATTGTCTGACCAATGGTGTCATAGAGTTGGCTTGGATTCAGGCTCGGACGCCACAGACTCTTACACAAGCCCAGCAATGGTCCATGACGGTGGCCGGCAACAACAAAATCTTTTGTGACATTGGGATAGCCAATCATGCCCAAGCTACAAATATGGGGCTCCAGGGTATCGGGATCCATGCCGACAATCACTGCCTCAATTTGAAACGGAACAAGCCGATGCGCGTACAGCAGTTGCGATAGAATTAACGTCAGCTCTTTAGGCAATAGCTCACGATTCTTTTCCAACTCAAAAATATTCTTGCGTAATATGAGATGCTTGTAGGCCATCAGTATATCTGCCAGCCTTCCAGTCAGTCCTAAATACAAGCGAGCTCCCAGCTTATATAAATTCTTATTACTGTCGTTAATGTTTCCTCCTTTTACGGCAATGGCCACACAATCTTTGCCGTGCATAGCAATTATACTACCATTACAGTAATCAATATTATTAGCCATTATACTGACTGATATTTGCTAATAATCGAGTTTTGTTAACGTATTGAGTGACAAATAAATCGAAGAATTTTTCTTACACAATACAAAATTTGAGTTTCAACTCAATTTCTTGTTATACTTATGTATTACAATTTTTACTTTTATGAGTCTACCAGTTGAAGTAGTTTTCCGTAAAAATTCTACATAATAAGCCACAAACTTATGCAACAAAATTGCTCAAAGTTTTGGCTGTTGGGCAATAATAAAGTTTTGCGCTCGTGCAAAAAAAGAAACGGAAAAAAAAACACAAAAAGTTGTGCTCTAATTTGTTTGGAAGGCAGTCAAAGCGCAATTTTAATCCACTCTTATCGGCTGCAATGCACATGGATGCACACACACTCATACTCAAACGAGGTCCTTTTGTACAGCGACTTCCGTATTGCAGCCAACCCAAACTCGCGACAAGAGCTTCTCAGATGATTTTTGCCTGTTCTGCTTCTGTTGGCCTGGTAAGCTTTGACTTTGACTGACGGTATTTGTCAGCGGCAGACATAAAGTAATCATTACTTGGTGCGCATCACAGTCTGCACTTGCACTGAAACGGGCACACTAAGCGTATACTTAATAATAAGAAAATAAGTGACTGTCAGCGCGCATGGCGCCCAACGTGGGCAAGAATATGGTCTTACATGCCAGCGAAAAGTGCAAAACGATGTCAAAGTCAACGGCAAAAACACCAACAACAAGAATACATTTTGCCCATAAAAAAAAAGGGTGGGTGTATGGAAAAACTGTAGTTGTCGATGATGTCGACCCGTCGGCAACACTCCAAGTGTAAAGTGTTGCAACGCTAACTTGACAACTTGCAGACAAATTGAGATGTTGTTTTTGTTTTACTTAAGCGAGAACACGTCGAGAATTGATGTGATCCCTGACACACTCACCCTTAGAAAATAAAGAGGTACCAGCACTTCAGCTGCATTTTAAGCAGCCTCAGGTGAAAATAACTGTCAGAGGTCTGTGTTTTATTTACTGCATGGTTTGATTGAGTTACTTATTTGAATTCAGTGTAAGAAATAGAATCATGGTAACAAAAATTTCTAAGATTTCCAAAATTGTAAATTTAAGAGCATCAAAAGGGTATTTATTTTTAAACGTTAGCTTATTGAAAAAAGTCTTTAGAAATTCGTTTATATACGAATTTAGGCTAGTTAGCTGTTCAATTTACAAAAGCCTAATGGCGTGAGCTTTGACAAAGTTGTGAGAGAATAAAAATCATTAGCAACAGCTTTGTTTCCTAGCATATTGTGCTTATTGTTAATTAAGAGTCTCAATAGCCTATCAATTTACAATTGGGTACTTGTGCACATCAATCAAAAAGTGACCAAAATAAAAAACACACAAGCCATTTGCCAATTCCACAAATTGAGACTCAAAGACTCGACCAACAAACAGGAAGTAAAAAAGGAAAAGTAGTTTGAAACAAAACGCAAAATAGAATTCCACAGAAAATGGTAAGGAAAAACACTTCTGCAGCAGCTAAAGAGTTAAAAGTTGAGGATGGCGAGAGGCTAGCCCACAGGCTACAGTCTTTGGTAAGCAGTCTGACACTTGGCTGCTGAGGCTGACTCTGTGGTTGGCTATAGTTCAAAAACTTGCTCAGAAAATTGCATCTGCATCTGCCACACACTACAAAAAATTGTGCAGAGAATGAGCATTTGCTTGGAAGAAATAAGCTAGCAAATGTAAATATTAATTTTATTGAAATTAAAATTTCACAGAAATTAATAAATATAAATAATATTTAAATTTAGTTACAACGAATTGAATTGCAACTCAAATTGCTTACAGTGCATGCAAAATGTCCTGTCAAATCCTGAACGGAAGCCGCGTTAGACTTAAGCGGGATGAAGACCGTATTGCCTCCTCGAGTCTACACTTTGAAAACCGATGCCAAAACACATTAAGCTGATGCCTTTGAAGACGCTTGCAGCAGCAGTTAGAAGCTTAAAAAGGCTACAAGAGTCAAAAGCCAGCTAAAGTGCAGTAAGGCGAGCGGGGTGCGGGTTGACGCCTTTTGTTGACGCGTTCTCTGTTGTGTTTTTCTTGACAGGGCTTTTAGTGAGCATGTGAATGCAGTGTGTGCGTTTGTGTGCCTGTGTGTACGTGTACGAGTGCGTTTGAATAGAAAGAGCTGCTTTTTGCTGCTTGTGCTTGTGCTCCGCCGCCTGTGGTTGGTTTAGTTGTTTAATGATAGTTGGCCACAAAGCCAAATATGCCGTTTCCTAATGCTTCTGCGACTCTACTCGCCTGTTTTTTTTTCTTTTTTTTTTTTTTTGCCCACCCGCAATTGCGGCTGCAACTGGAGCACAAAGTCAACAACAAATGTGCCCGGTTAACGCCCGCAGAAAAGCAGCTCCTGGTTGGTTTCCTCTTCAGCAGCAAAATAAAAAATAAAAAAAAAAAAACATTAAGAAAAATGCACAGTGGAAGTTTGTGGAAAACGAGAGCATTCAAAGAACGCAAAGTGTCAGCGTCAAGCAAAATATAAATGGGATAGCGAGCACCAAACTGTAGTTTCCCAGTGCACCCTGGACTCGATTAGATGACTAAATGAAGTACTGCGACTTTAGCTTCGAAGTAAATATACTATGTTTGGCAGACTTTAACTACATATTAAATCAAAGTACATTTAAATCAGTTTACATTCATAACATAATAAGAATTCGGTATATTTATATTTGTAGCACAAGAGATCATAAATATTTTTACCCGAAAAGTATTATATTGTGGTATTTCTGCATTCGATGAATAAATGAATTAATTTACTAAGTTGTGTTTCCTTTTATATATATACGATAATTCGATTTTGGTATTTGTACATTTTTTGAATGCTTTCAACATGTCTTAAAAAATGTGGGGCATTTTACTGTTCAAAGCAAGTTATAAGTACTTTTTGCACGCAATCAAAAAAACAAAAGATGCTGCATACTTTTGTGAGTGACTGTATAGAGAGAGATGCCGCTTGAAAATGATTTCAAAAGCAGTCAATGTGCAGCTTAAGCTAAGCAATAGAAAAGTACAATCAAGTTGGGAAAGGAATTGTTCCACCTGGGGTCGCAACTTAAAAACATAAGTAGAGAAATACTAAAAGTGTGTAGAAAAACTTCGCTTAAAACGGTATCAATAGTACAAATCTGGAATGGAATGAAATTATTGGACCCTCAAATAAAAATTGTACTGGAATTAAATTAATATGATTGCAAATAAACGATTGCGCTTCTAGTTGATTCACTTATTGGATTCTATCATCTTTCAGAAACTGTATATCTTTCTTAAATTTTATTGTCTTTAAATAGTAAATATAATTATCATTGTTTCAACTTTCAATAAAGATTCTCTCTTAATGATAAGTGCATTGAAGATTGCACCACATTTCACAAATGGCCAGCAGAAATTCAATTATTTGGTTTTGTTTGCAAGCCGTTCCCATGGCCAGATGATATTTGGATGAAAATCTCGAAAATAAATATTTCTGTCGTCCAGCGGATTTTCTTGTTAATGCGGCAAACACGAATGCGTGATTTCGATGGAAACCAAAACAAACCAAAAAAATAAAGACATAAAGAGTGCAATTACTATGCAAATGCAATGAAAAGCCAGAAAAGTGCGTGTGGATAAAGAAAAAATAAAACCAACTGAAAATATGCAATATAATTTGCATTAAATTGTATGGCGCCATAATTGATTCTCCATGGTCAGGTATGAAATAAATGCAGGAACTGCGTATTCCGTTTTACATCTGTGCAAGAGCGCAAGAGAAAGGGTAGAGACACTCGCGATGATGCCCTTTGTGTTGACTTTCATTTGCGAAATTAACTGCTGAAACTGGCAACAAAAACGGTCGGCTGAGCTGGGCAAATCTCAGTCTCAGTCTATTCAGTGTGTTGAATAACGCTTAATGCAAGCATCTTAAGCTACCAACAATGCCAGGTCTTTACAAATTTATGACAAAACAAAAGCAGCGCCAACAGCGCAACAGCAACAACAACAAAAAACAACAACAGCATCTGATTCAAGTGCTGCCTGCAAAGAGCCTCTCAAGGCCCACAACTCAACTCAACTGAACTTCAACTCGCTGCTCATATAAAACACAGCATAATTATTCCCTCTACTTCCCTCAGTTTTTTACAATTTAACGCTAAATAACAAACCAGAAAGAGCCTACAAATGCAAACAGTCATTCAAATACTCTAGCTAGAATATTTTTATGCCAAATGAATGAAGAACTTTATGTTTATGAATATTATCGTTGATGTATTTTACATGAATAACCGATTTAGCCTTTAAGTGCTGGCAAAGAAAATAAATCAATTGGTATTTAAGCGATTTCTGAAATATTCATTTCGAGAGCCAGTTAAATATGTTAAGAAAATATTTAATACAAACTAGAGTTATGCATATAATTTTCTTGTCTGTTCAATTTCTCACCTTCACCAATAAGACAGAAGAACAGAATTCGCCAACATTTTAATCTATGCAAATCGAAAATGAAACTCTCAAACGAGATAACAAACTGCATAAAAAAGTTATGATGCCACACGCCCTTTAACAATGTAAGCGGAGTTGCAGCTGACGGGGCAAGTCAGTGGCTGTATAAGGCAGCAGGCAACTGCTATTTACCCTCTTGATGCTGATAAAGACGCAAGCTGCAGGCTTGCATAAGTATATATAAGATGGAGTTGGGGTCTACGTGGATAGGAAGTAGGCACTTGGATGCAGGTGATGCGTTATAGCACTTTGGTGTACGGCTGAGCGATAAGGGGAGAGGTAGAAAGAGAGAAAGAGAGAGAGAGAGAGAGAGAGAGAGAGAGAGCGACTGCTCCTGACAGCTTTACTACTTTAATGGGGAGGCAGACAACATTAGCACTGACAATGAAAATGAAAATGTTGCCTTTACTGGCATATTGTGTTGCCTCTGCTCGGATATGGATATCTGCAATATATGACATCATACAGAT